ACCTTTTCTCTAAGTTTCTGAAAATAGGTTGATGAGGGGAGTAGTCATTTGCAGAGCTAGAGATGTTAACTGATTAAAAGTAAATATACTGGTGTTCAATAAAAGAAAAACATGTGAAGATAACTCACACCTCTGAGCGAGTAAAATACTAGATCTCACTCGACTGTCAACTAACACTGATGCCTCCTGCTGAACGTAGCCCCCATAGTACAGGCCATATTTCGGCTCAACGATAAGTTCTATTAACAGGTAGCCCTGCCACCACATAAAATTGAAGTTAAAAATTACAAGAAGAATGATGGCATTTCTATTCATTAATCATCTTGAGTTAAAAGTGGCATATATATAAAGTCCGTCAAGAAATAGAACCCATCCAATTTCGCAACATATATAAAAGGCTTGCAGTTTCACTTCCTGCAAACGAATCTAGATAGGATAAACCAATATGATGGCAGTGATAGCATCGATATGAAGCCTATGATGCACCGACACTTTCCTCAAGAGGTGTAATGTCCGGCCGTGATCTCGGGCGCACTCTGGAGACATCTGTGTTGTTTATGTTAGCACACCACGTCTGACCATAGGCGTAATCCGACATGTGTAGACAACACTCTCTCGTAGCCATGATCCCACGTCCCCACGGAAAGGTGTTCGGTACTTAAAAAATATTAAAAATAAATTAGACAGCGCCATGTCCGCACTCGTTGTCTTAATTATTTTATGAATTTAATTTATACGCCTCTTTGAGGCGAAGTGTCGGTGCATCATAGAATCTCAGTTAACGATCTGCTCTGCCAATGACTACTCCCCTATCACCATTTGCAGAAATTAGGAAAAAAAAGGGGTGAGGGGACATGTATTAGTTAGGTTTGGAGGGTCTAGCCAGCAATTCTTTCTTTCTTGGGTCTGGCTGAAATTATGCACATTCTGTAATGCTGTACTGCTTTATTTATTAAGGGAAATATATCATTGAGAATATGGAAAGCATAACTTTGCACGCTTCTTATACCTCCGAGAGAAATTATTCTGTGCGGATGCAGATCGCTGTTCACCATCCTGAGGCCAACCAGAATGCGCCATGTCAGCGGTACGGAGCGCGGTACTGAGTGGGGTGACGCGGCGCATTTTGATTGGTACGGTGTTTGGCGTCTGCAGAGAATAATTTGCCCCTTGTTGTAGGGCAGTTAATCATGTCTGAATTTCAAACTCACTCTGTAATCAATTGAAGATACATTGGCTCGAAACTGAAATGGATTTGCTCCAATTTGGAGATAACTGGTTTGAAATTAATTCGATTCAACTCTTAATCTACTCGATACATGGTATATACAAATATGCGTCCTTTATGTTTGTGTTTAGTGCATTCATCTTTGTTTTTGTTTGAAAATTTCTGCAGGTAGTCAGCCCACAGTGGCCGAGAGTTTAGGTAACTTGTTATATGATCAAGACCCAGTGCTTTGTTATTAAAGAAATATTTCCCTAACTGAGTTCCAGTTCCAAGGAATGCGCTTTTGGGATATACTGTATATGTTGAATTCTGGCATCTATTGTTTGTAAGCCAATAGGGTACATAATATCTATTTAGAATGAAAAATTAACTAATTGTAGTATACTATGGCTATGTTTGGATGTTAAGACAGTGAGATAAAAGATGTATGTTGGAACTTGTTGCTTGCTCATCAATAGTAATTTATTTGTTTAGTGTGATGAATTTTTTTTAATATTTCTGTTATGGGAGAAATTATTACGTGCGGAGTCTAGACGGACAAAATCGTCCGGTTTTCTCTCTGTATACAGTAAAAGTACAATCAAAGCACAGCTGCTACAGTAATTATGCTTTAGAGAGAAAACCGAATGATTCTCTCTGTTCGATTTCTGCACAGAATAATATGCCCTCTTAAGGATGTCGGAATTAAAGGATTTGTTTTTTAAAATTCAACTCGAAGCCTCATCTGTCTTGATATTTTCCTGCAAGAACCACCCAAGGTAATGGAGCCTTTATGCTTTTGATTCTTATTTTGGTTTGGCTTGTATTTATAACAGAGAATTGTAAAAGTTGTTTTATTGGTCATGGCATTTATGTTCCCTCTGAGAAAACTAATTATTAGAGCAAGTTTTTGGCACAATGAAGGCTAGTTGCAACAGGATTGAGTAGAATAAATAAGCTGAATAGTTTGAATCATTAGCCAAAATCAATTTTTATAATTGAATTGCTAAGTAATACATTCATAGTGGCATAAATTTGGAATTGACTTGAAATGAATTGTTGAGTTGAGTAATTTACCAAATATAATGAATAATTTAGCTGAGAATTCTATATCCAAGCAGAATAACACATCAAATATAATGAGTTGTAGCTGAGTGGCAGAGTAGAATAATTCAACAAATAGAATGAGCCATGCAACTAAATGGTCTTGTAGAATAATAAGGTTTCGTTTGGGGTGGCTTTCTTACTGTTTCTTAAAGTAGTTTTTTAGTATAAAATTTTTAATTTTTGTAATAGAAAGTTACTTTAAGAAGCAGTAAGAAAGCCGTCCCAAACAAAGCCTAAGTTGCTAAATATTATGCACTTCGACATTATTTGGTTTGAAGTAAAAGGGGTGTAAAATATTCTAAAGGTATATTTGTTAAAAATATTAGTATTTTATTTGAAGTAAAAGAAATGTAAAGTAAAATTTGGTTGCATTTATGTCACCTACTGTTGTTGCTCGTTGGCCATCAATTTCTACTTTTTTTTTTATTGAATTTATTTTACTCAAACTAAAAAAAAAAGATTTATTTTATGCTCATCAAAATATTTCAAATATAATGCATATCTTACTAATACTTTGTATTTTCTCTAAAAATACTAATTTTATATAATAATAATATTATTATTAAGCTACTAAAATTTGCCCACTTATTATAGGAACAATTATTACGTCCTCCGACCGGATGCAGAGAAACATCCGGTCGCAGGCAAAAATAGCGCGGTACGATTTTTGCCTGCGACCGAATGTTTCTCTCATTCGGTCGACCGAACCAAATAAAAACTCCTTATTATAGGGCTGGTCCGACCCATCATTCTTCTAAGTAAACCTAATAAGAACTCGCATAATTAATATATTTAATTATTCTAATAGAAGAATGTCTAAAATCCCTCCAAAAAATTTGATATTTGCTCGGTATTACTAGGTATTATTTGATAATACAAGAAATACCGCTCTGTGAAGATCATATCGAGTTATACCTAGCTATACCGAGCAATACCGAGTTATACCGAGCTATACCAAGTTATACAAAAAAATACCGAGTTTTTTCTAGGAAAAACTCAGTACAGTATTGCTCGGTATAACTTGGTATAACTCGATATTGGATCTTACATGATGATAATCCTCCTTATTACTTGATATTGCTCCATATTTGTTTGATATTTCTCGTTTTTTTGAAGCGATTTTAGCTCCCACCGTCGGTCGGAGGACCTAATAATTGTTTCTGAAATTATTCTCACAGGCCGCAGTTCTCAAGTGCCAGCTTTCCTGCTTTCGAAGCTTTGAAATATAGCGCACGCGTCCAATTCCTCCACTCCACTACAACATAACGACCGTTGCGGCCTTGCATTGCAGGCCTCTTTACCTCCTCCTCAGTTGCCAAGAAATGGAGGATCGCACACAAACCCTCATACCTAGAGTGAAGTTGGGAAGCCAAGGCTTGGAAGTTAAGACGCTTCTTTTTCTATGTTCTCCTGATCGCCATCCGCTTCTTTGCTCTAAACATTCATTTTTCTTCTCTATGGATAGGTATCCAAATTGGGTTATGGTTGCATGAGCCTTTCTGGAGTTTACAACTCCCCAGTCGACGACGAAAATGGGATATCTGTAATCCTTCATGCTTTCAACAGAGGGATCACCTTCTTCGATACATCCGACGCTTACGGTCCTCATACTAATGAGATTTTGGTGGGAAAGGTTCGAGCTTTTTCTTGCTCTTGTTTCTAATCTCCTAGAAAACTTGAAATTGAAGGAGAAATCTGAAAATTTGTTACAGGCATTGAGACGTTTACCTCGAGAAAGGGTTTAGTTGGCGACCAAATTTGGTGTTGCAGGAGCCAGTCCGAGTGGTTTGTTGGTGAATGGTTCACCGGAGTATGCGAGGGCTTGCTGTAGAGAAAGTCTTGAGCGACTCGGTGTGGATTATATTGATCTTTATTATCAACACCGAGTTGATAAGTCAGTGCCTATAGAGGACACTGTAAGAACATCGTTGGAAATTTT